GTTCAAAACTGTGATTAGATCTCAAATCGGTCAAGAGATGTTGGAACTAAGAGCTAGAAGTTTGTACTTGAAAAAAAGAAAAAAAAAGAACAAACAAACTCAGAGCCATTTTATGAGCCGCAGCTAAAAAGCGAATCGTGGTTTTCGCAACTTTAATTTTAGAAAGTTCAACACTTAAACGCGAATGTTTGCATGTTACCTCGTCACGGTTTTAGTTCCTACCAAAAATAAACAAAAACTAGCCTGCGTATATCTGATGTTTATTTACAGAAAATTAGGCACACAAACACCTATATTCTCTTACTGACTTCAGCCAACATTGACGAATTTTGGTCACAGTTTTTGTTAAACTAAGTCTGCGCCTGCGTGGAATTTGGCGTGACAACGCGCGTATCGAGACAAGGATTAACCAGAAAAGTTGCAGTGAATAAGCTACCCCTGGTGGTATTAACCACCAGTCCTAGGATAATACAGAAGTTGATGACACGGCCACTGAGTGCCTCATGCCCGCAGGGGCATGCCCATGCTAGGGTCAATCACCTCGGTCATTTAAACTACATTATATATGAACGAAAGAAAAAAAAACAAACAGGGATGGAACCTGTCGACTAAGGAAGAAGCCAAGAAAAGTCTGGTTTGTGTTGACTTGTAGAAAACAACTACCGGGTCAGTGTCTCGTTCACAGTTTCGTAAAACAAACTGTAACTTGTATCTGTACTACTACTACTGAATCGCTCTTTTTCTAGAACTTAACATTTATATATATATATATCTTCCACGAGCTACCTTTCGCTAGTATAAAGCCCGTACTGGTTTTAATGAATTAACATATATACGAATACAATTATCATATTTAATAAATTAACATACATAAGAATACAATTATAATAAAAAAGACATAGAAAGAGGTGTATAATGAGACATAATTAGTTCAATTGGTTTTTGCTAGATGTAAAAAGGCTGTTCTGATACTACTAACTCTGAATCGTGGTGTCTGTCCGAGCGTACGTCTGTCTCCCGTTTGAAAATCTGCGCACGCAGAAAAACCTCAACATTCACTTTTGGTTTGGTTGGAATTTCGCGCGAAGCTACACGAGAGCTATCTACGCTAGACTTCCCAATTTAGCAGTGTAAGAGTAGAGGGAAGGCAGCTAGTCATCACCACCCACCGCCAACTCTTGGGCTACTTTTTTACCAACGAATAGTGGGATTGACCGTCAAATTATAACGCCCCTACGGCTGAAAGAGCGAACATGTTTGGTGGGTCAGGGATTCGAACCCGTGACCCTCAGATTGCGAGTCGAGCACCCTAAGCACCTGGCCATGCGGGCTTTCATCGGGCAACAATGAAGGCTCCCGTAAGTGGACCGAAAGATCGCAAATAAAAGTATTTTAGCGCAGAGAAAAGTCCGTGTATAATTTTATATATAAAAAATTTACCCACGTTATGAGCCTTAAGTAACAACAGACATGAATAATGTTGATGCTAACTTTTATTTCGCAAGCAGGATATTCTCTACTAAGTTGTTAGGAATTAGTCACATTTCGAAATGTGACGTAACTTAAACAATAAAATGTATGTTATTGTTGAGCGGCACTTAGCATGATTGAAATACTCAACAATTACTTTTCGCAGTGGGTAGTATAAGTAACTCAGAACTTTGGCTCTGAGTGAAACCAAGAGTGTAACACAATTTAACTTTTTAAAGTCCATGAAATTATTTAAATTGATAGATTAACTTAATATTTTTACGTCACTGGGGACGGGTACTTTTGCTTGTTCATTATCATCAATTTTTTTCTGAAACTGTAGCCTAACGTCACTCTACGAGTCCGATAACTCTTATTAACTTCTGATCAAAGCAAACTATTTACATACATCAAAATTAAACATCTAACCTAGTAATTAATAGAGCCAGTGTTCCAATAATTGGAGATATTTGATAAATTACGTCTCGTTTTGATATTTTTTTAAATTAATTAAATCGTCGAAATAAGTCTATAAAAGATTAACTTATAACATTTTAAACCGAAACGTTTTTGATTCCCCCTAGATTTTCTCTTTTATCTTTTTAACGTGGGAGGGTTTTTTTGAAGATTATGCAATTCCTTAGAGATTTACCTTCTGTTGTTTTATAACTGTTGATTTAACTTAGTACAATATTTGAGAGGATTGATTTGGATATCGATAAATAAATAGATAGATAAGTGTATCTATGTAATCTCTATTACACATGTACATTTTCTGTTTAACCAGCTTTTAGAAAGTTACAAGTTAGATACGTGCTCCAATGTTTTTCATGGTTATCTCTAAATAACTCCTTATCCCTGTCTACAACCGCAGGGGGAAGAAAGATACGCCTGTCAACGCAAGAACTCGGCTTATTAGGAAACAAACAGTAATAAATCCACTCGCTACATTTCTACATTCATCTATTAATCCTCGCGGTACTTTGGCAAGAAAGAGCATTCTTGACACTTCTTGTAAAAATAAATAAAATGAATACAAAATACATCGACATACAGTTAGAACTTGGCTCCTATTCCTTTACATACACGCACAGAATTATCACAGACTCTGTGACGTTTCACAAGTGAAATTTACATATTTTTTTTTTGCTATTCATCCATCGAGAGCCAACTGTGTGAGATGTGAGCTGTTTTGTCTTCAGTTTGGTGTATCACCATTATTAGCCAAAAAACAACAACAAAAAAAAACGGTAAAATGAAAATTTTTAATTATTCCAAAGAGGAAATATTATGAACAAAAGTTAGCCTACCCCCTGCTCGTTAACTACTTCTATATCGATATGTCGAGTGACAACTTTTTGTGTGCGTTTTGAATGGCGATTTGACGTCAAAATTCCAATCGTTTTTACTCAGTCGTTTAGGAGTAACAGGTTTCTACTTCTCAAAACAAATAAATAGTTTGATTTGAAAATACTAAGAACAAACTTTCGAATTAGCTGAATAATTGTAGTAACTGGATTCATTAGCCTCGTTTAGTAAACCAGAACAATGAATGATACTTGAAGCTTCAGTGTGAAAGAGATAAACGACAAAAACTTAATATAGCAGCGACAACTTCATTCCTACTCTGCTGTCGACAAACGCAAAGTGGACTTCAAAACCAAATATTCAACTTCCCAGTGACACTTTTATGAATTATCCTTAATGTCCGCTCTATATACATACCCATATTTATCTATTATTACAAAATTCATAAGGTATTGCATCATCAACGTCTAAATATACCACAATCGCATTCTCAGATTAATGTGTCACATTTATCAGGAATTAATGTGTCACATTTTATCAGAAATAAATGTGTCACGTTTTATCAGAAATTTATGTGTCGCATTTATCAGAAAATAATGTGTCAAGTTTTCATCAGACAAATGTGGCACAGTTTATCAGGGATTAAATGTGTCACATTTAACAGGAATTAATGTGTCACGTTTATCAGAAAAATGTGTCACAGTTTATCAGGGATTAATGCGTCACATTTATCAGGAATTAATGTGTCACGTTTATCAGAAAAAAAAGTGTCACGTTTTTATCAGAAAAAAGTGTCACGTTTTATCAGGAATTAATGTGTCACATTTACCAGAATAATGTGTCACATTTTACCAGAAATAATGTGTCACATTTATCAGAAATAATGTGTCACATTTATCAGAATTAATGTGTCACATTTACCAGAAATGAATGTGTCACATTTATCAGAAATTAATGTGTCTGACTCAGACCATATAACTTATCCTGAGCAGATGAGAATACAAGAGTCTAGGTATTATGTAATTTCGTAACATGTATATGTTTTTAATATTCGTTGTGTTCATAAGATTTCTACCAGTATGAATAGAAATTTGATACATCTTGAAATTTGTTAGCAGGATCGCCTGAAGACTCTGAAAAAAGGGCAATCATTGTCGCAGAGGTTATTTTTAAAATGTACCACCATGCAGAACGGATATCGCTTAGCAACAAGATTGATCGGCCCAATGCATCTATATACATCATTCCAAGAGCCCAGAGAAGGGAAGACGGCACTTCGAGGCACGTTCCAAAGCCCCATTGTTGGCGTGTGACCCACGAGATCTAGATCAATTGTACCAAAGTGACAAGCAACTCAATTATCAGTGATTTGATAAAAAAAAAAAATCTTGTTTCTGCCAATATAGACGCCACGTGATATGCTCCCTATTTGTATCATTGTTTTAACGAACTGCAGAAACGTTAAAACATGGAATAATGAGTTTGTTGAAACTATCTGAATTACTCCCTAATTCTAGATTTCTTTGTTGTTTTTTTTTAATAAAAAATATTTTCGTATTTATTTTAAAAACGGTGTATATTATAACTACCAGGATACATGTTTACACAGTTTCCTCCTGTTTGGTACTTTTTATCTTCTGGATATATTGTTGCTTTCTTTCCATTTAGACAATAGGTGCTAGTTTGATATAAAACTTAAGTTTCTACATCGACCTAAGTTTCTATTGTTGCTTTCTTTCCATTTAGACAATAGGTGCTAGTTTGATATAAAACTTAAGTTTCACATCGATTTAAGTTTCTATTGTTACTTTCTTTCCATTTAAACAATAGGTACTAGTTTGATATAAAACTTAAGTTTCTACATCGACCTAAGTTTCTATTGTTACTTTCTTTCCATTTAGACAATAGGTGCTAGTTTGATATAAAACTTAAGTTTCCACATCGACCTTATCTACTTCATAACTGTGTTAATGTTTAATGCTTTTCTTTTCTTTGCTATTATTTCAGTTAGTTAGTGTTGATTATATGTCATATGTAAAAATACCCCAAGAGGTGATACCCCTGATACCTTCATGTATACATGAAACTACTCGCAATTCTTAATAGTGTGGGTTTTTGTTTTCACGGATTTCACTTCGCTTACTTTAAAGGTTAAGTGATTTGATTAACGGAATTGTCAGAGGCTTTGTTTTTATAACACAATCAATTCTTCTACCACCTACCTGTCGTGAAGAGAACGATCGCCTTCAAACAGCTGTATTCGGCAGCATCAACGTGAAGAGCCTTTAACTTCTCTACCTGTTCCTGGAAGATGCGAATGTGGTCCATGAACGCCACCACACGGTCCGCCGCCATGGGTGAGGCGTGTAGTCCAGCGGCCGCCAGTAGGGGCGCCACGTGTAGAGGCATAGAACATTGAGAGGCATTCAACACAAAGAGTTCGCTCCAAACGAGTCGGAGTAGAGCCACTTGGTCAGTTACTTGAAGGTCGGGAAAGAACGGGATATTTCTTGCCCACTCGACTGCACTGAACAACAAGCGAGCCGCTAATTCACAGATATTATCAATTCCCATGAAGTTATTAGGTTGCATACACTGAGCATACCGAGATGGCTGGTAGGGTTCTGCTCTCAGCAGGAGCGAGATGAAGCTGGACAGGTACGAATGACCATTCAAGGCGTCTCCGTTGGTCAAAGCCATCTGACCCGGAAGGCTATGCTGTGTTGGCGGCAAACGTCCTCGCTGAACAGCTGGGGGAAGAAATTATCATTTAAACCCGCTAAGTACGTAGAGAAATAATAAAAACACTTCTAACTTCTAATTAAGTATAGAAAAATAAGCTTATAAGTAAATACTGTAAACTGAATAAATCAACTTAAAAACTGCTCTCATCCTACGGTGATAATAAACACGTGAGGTTAATCACACGTGCAAAAGATGCTAAGGTTGCAGAGAACAAAATTTCCGCGTGTTTCTAATTTCCTGATAACACCAGTTCACCAGTACGTTTTTAAAAGTTAACTGCTTCTAATTAAAGACTCGCAAAAATATACATGACCCAGATTTTACGTCGTAAGAGGGGGGTTTGGAGATAAACCGTGTACAAACAACTTACCCCCCAGTGGCACAACAAACAACTTACATTTAACTCGTTTTCAGAATTGTTTACCCCCCCCCCCCAGTGGTACAGCGGTATGTCTGCGGACCTACAACGCTAGAATCCGGGTTTCGATAGCCGTGGTAGGCAGAGCACAGTTAGCCCATTGTGTAGCTTTGTGCTTAACTACAAACAAACATAATTATTTTGCCTCACCACTAAATTCAAAACAGAAGTTAAACCTTCTCTGTTGTCTCAGTAAATAACACCGGATTGATGATACTCGTACTTATACCGTCACTATGGTATCAGAAAACATCTATATGACTGTCAGTAGAGAGATATTCTATATAAACACCTGCAACAGATACGACACATCAACGTATAACAGATTGTTCGTCAACATAACACGTGCTAGGAAAAGTGATTCAAACAAATGTTTCCTACTATACTGAATTTGTTTTTACAGACTGCAAGAGTTGGGTACACTCACATTATTAACCAATCCCATCCTAGACATTTGTACATCTGTAATAGATACCATTATGTCCAGTAGAACATAATTACAGCCTGGAGTTGTCCAGTAGTAATTAGGACCAGTCTGGACTTGTCCGTTAATAATTAACCCCAGCCTGGACTTGTTCGTTAATAATTAACCCCAGCCTGGACTTGTCCGTTAATAATTAACCCCAGCCTGGACTTGTTCGTTAATAATTAACCCCAGCCTGGACTTGTCCGTTAGTAATTAGCCCCA